TGAGAAAAGTATTTGGAGTTTGAATTGTTGAGGGGAAGAAAGAGATGATTCTTGTTAATTTTCAGTCTGATCAAAACTTCATCATGGAGTTATTTTGTGACATGATTGTGAAACTGTTTTACATGAACAGAACCTACCATTTATGAGTTTCTGATACTTTCAAGGAATGTTAAAAATTTGAATTCATTAGTTTTACCAAACTACCGTTTGTTGTCAGATGACTATTAAGGGCCATGGCCCTCTTGTGTCTAAAGCATTCTTGTTACCTCAGAGGGGGCAGAGGGGTTGGGTCAGGAATGGAAAATAGAGTAGGTACTTTAAAATCCTCCTTCTGTTTGCATAATGTATTTCAACAAACTGTTTCAGAATCGTCTGCTTTGTATCAATGGTGAGTCTTGGCCCCTAGGGGCCAGAGTGTGAGGCTGGATGGGGATATTCAGCAAATTCTTTGAAATCTTTCTTTTGCACAAATGACTGGATTATGGCAGAATGTTACCATGACTTAATCTTGATAACCATTTTCTCAAAAACATTGGACAATACTGTGGATAGTAGAAGCTGCATGTAAAAACATTGAAGTGAGGTAGTTTGATTTCATTTGATTAATTAAAACATTAACATTAATTAAAACCCTTTTCTGATGAAATTTTGATTTTGTTCAAGGTCCTTAATGTTTACATTTCTGTTGTATTAGTCTGATCATCCCTCGCCTGGTAAGCATTACCAGGGTATCACTAGAAGTGCTTATCTCCCTGACAATGAGAAAGGTCGTCTTGTGGCAGAACTGTTAAAGATCGCTTTTGACAGGAAGTTAGTTTTTACTATTGGAAGGTCAAGGACAACTGGTTACGATGGTGTCATTATCTGGAATGATATTCACCATAAAACAAGAATGGATGGTGGTCCACAGGCATAAGTATCGATATCAAAATATAAGCAAACATGATCTATATCTATTGGAGCTTTTACTATTACGATCTAGTCCAAATTATTCCGACATTCCAAAGACTTTCTTCTGTTGGTCTGGAGTCAATGAACATCAGAACTCTGGCTTTACAAAAAGTTCCAGGAAATAAACATCGGTCTCCGTCAACATTTAAACGATAGTTGTGTCTTTTCACATGCATTCCGCATGCAGACAAAAGGTCTGTTATTTATCTACAAGACCTTGACAGAACATGCTTTATAATACCAATCCGCTCTCTGTTGTTTCCAGTAATACCTAAAACTGTGATGTTATCACTATTTCTTGAAAAGTACATTACTGATCTTTCTCAAATTTCCTACACAAGGATTTCCTTGGTGAGCACTGATGTCCTCATAGATCTCTTTTTGGAGAAGTACTAACATATGCAGTGGGTCCCGTTCCCCTTCCGCCCCCACCCCCCCAAATTGACCAATAAAAAGCCAACTTGGACTTTGGCAATTGAAAAATTTTTATCACTTTTTCCTTAAAATATAGAAATGATAGCTGTATTTCATGAGATGACTGTAATGATGTCCCTCAAACTTTATAAATGTACTTCTTCCCTTGTATTGTATGCTCAGATTGAGATTAATCACAAATCGTTTCCTGAAGTACGAAAAAGGATTTTCATAAATTAATGTGTATACATTCCCCTTTGTCCCTAGGCTCATTCGATTCAATTTTGGGTCTATTCAAACAAAACGACTGATTGGAGACCATCTTGGATTTGCATAGTTGAAGTTTGATGTTGCTATCACTCAGAAAAGTTAGATTTCATACATAGGACTTTTCTTGTTATCATATTAAGAGGAAAAAGGAGGGGAAAGTAAAGGAAAAGATAAGTCTTGCATAGAAGCTATAAAGCTAATTTAGTGGATTATTGTGCAAGATCCCTCTGCCTGGGTTCTCGCGTTCTTTCTTCATCACAAAAAAAAAAAAAATCTCAGCTAATATACAGTATTAGCTGATACAAGGAGACAGGATATATATTGTGAACAAAATCTCTGATTTTCATATCCATTTTTTTTATTTCTAGGTATGGATACCCTGACCCTACTTATTTAGATAGGGTTCTGGATGATTTGAAGGCCAAAGGAATTACAGAGGAGTCTCTCCATGCCACAACAGTCGGAGACAAATCATTCTTTACCCCTTGTACATAAGCCTCTTGCGTATATTCTTTCACTTGAATCTTTTGAAGTCGGTTATTTAGGAAAGTCATTTATTCACTGATTATTCATAGATTTCTTTAGCGTCTGTTATAAGAATTTTTCCTCGTTTGTTTGCTGGGTTTATCTGCCATGACGAACAATTTGAAAAACATATTGTTAAATTCTCTAGTACCCCTGGTGGCACTGAGCTGAAAAGTTATGGAGATGATGAGGAAAATAAACAAACATAGTATTGTTATTTTTTTTTTATCAAAACTATAAACGATGCAACTGTGGCAGCCAATTTGTATCATATTTTTTGCTTAATCATGGTTTTCCTGAACTCCTATTTCTAAAATTCCACCTGTGGGATTGAGTGGCTGCCATCTCACAAGACAATGTTTCGATCTCATTTTCCAATTCTACTTGTGTCATCACTAATCATTGAACTTTTGTGAGTGTAGAAAAACTGAAATTATCAGAGTTGTTTTTGTTACCATAACTGCCAAAATATTCAGAATGGTTTTACTGATCGTTCCCAATAACACTAATGCTGCATTTTTTTTTATATTATCGTATCTATATTCAGATGACTTTTAAGCTCCCTGGGACTCTTGTGTCAAATTTGAAACTGTATCAACATGTCATTGAATCTTCATGTTCACACTCTTGACTATTGCAATGTCTGAATTTCAGATTTAAAAGTTGTCTTCGACAGTACTTACTGATTAATTAACGTTATTTCAGTTGATTTTCAATAAACGATATATCAAGTGTTATTGTATTGTGAAGTAATTGAGTAATGTAAATTCAATTAAGTGTCATTTCATTAAATTACAATTTCATACCATACCATCTGATACCAATATGCTAGGAGTTTGTTGTAGTATCATGTATATATAAAACAATACATAGCAGATTAATGTGATTTCAATTTTATTGCTTAATTCTTTGATAATTTGCATATAACAGAATATATTATACTACAATATGTACACACATTTAGAGTGGATTACAAATAACTTTTTAATGTTATAAACATACCAAATTTGGCGCAGTCAGATTTCAGTACATTATCTACTTTCAGCGAACTAGTGCATCCATAATAATTAATATGTAGCTGCAATTAGTGCAATTATAATTCATAGCAAAAAGTTTTAAAATTTCAGATTTAAGTATATATGTCAGATTAATGTGATTTCAATTTTATTGCTTAAAGCATATAACTTACAATCAGAGTACGGCTAGAGTATAAACATTTACATCAATTCCCACAAACATTTACATCAATTCCCACAATCCTAAGCTAAACATTAATAATCCACCTTTCAAACAGTGAATTTGCCCATTTTCGCACATGTCACTAGTGTAAATACCAGGTAGTGTTTTCTATTGGCTGCACCAGTCTGAAATCTAATGTGATGTCATGAAATGGACAAATGCAAGTTATGAACTGAAGTGAATTGAAAATGGGCAATAAAAGTCTGTCTCTGTTAAGTTTTGTCCTTGTTTTGAATTGAAAACCTGTAAAAATTGAACTCTTTTTTATGTTTGTGTTCTTTTTGTATGAGATTCTGTGAAACTCGTCTTTCATGTTTTAATTTTAACTGCAAAAAAAAAATCACTTCCAAGACTTGTTTCATAAAATCTCATTTGATAAGAAATGAACCTTTTTTTTTCATTCTTCTCTCACAGAAGTCAGATTCAGTTTCACTTACACTCAAATCTACTAATGAAGCAACGTAGCATTACATTTTAAATTAAATCAAAATTATTGTTTGTATTAACACACAATGTTAATATTGTCATCAGCAAACCTTAAGGTCTAAAATTACTTCTAAAAACAAGAAACATTGAACAACTTTGTTCTCAAAATCTTTAATCCTTCTTCAATTTTGTAAATAGCAACACGGTTCTGCTCAAATAAAGACCTTGTTTTAAAAGTTTTTTGTGTTTCATTTCCCATATCTGCATCTCTTTTTCAAAATTACTTCATTAAGTTTCGATCTTTTACAATCTCTCAAGGAGAGTTTCATATTGAACATCCCTTGCTCAAGAAGATATAAGGTGTTTTGCTGAAAGAGTTGTCTAACAAATCAATTTGTAGTCTTGCAGGTAAGGGTGGATATTGTTTGGTTTCTTCAATATCGTGCATTACACACAAATATTGTAACTATACAGCAATCACAATAATCTTTTTCTGATCTAAGCAGTATACTACATTTACATTAAGGACGGACAAAACACAGGTATAGGTTGCTTTCGTGTAAGTGGTTGAAACACCAGGAACAGATCGGGAATAAGGCTGGATGCGGAATATTTGGCATGTCCAGTTATAAGGGTACAGCCGTAATGTCTGAAACTAACTTGCTGAATATCATTAGTTTTCAGAATTTCAGCATAAAGTAGGGTAGATGCACTCTCATATAAAGTAAGAGTGAAATGGATGGTATCTTAATTTAGTTAATTGACAGAATATTCCGAACTGTATTTTAAGCTTTACATTTATCAGGTCCAACATCCAGTACAGTGTAGAGTGGAATAATTCCAGACTACATGAACCGTTTCAATTGGGTTACACGAAAGTGGCCATACACACATTTATGTACATCTGTACAATCACCATAGCAACAAAATATTTATCAAGGAATTGCGTATAAAATGGAATGATTAAGTAACATAAATTTGTTTCATCTCCTCCTTTACAGAAAAACATCTTCACAACCACTCCTTATTCTCAGAAAGTTTGTTCAGTTTTATACATTTTCATATATATATGTAGAAAAATAAAATCAGCAAAGCTTTCATATCAATCATAAATGTATATATAACATTCTCCTTTCGATACATTAAAATACAATTTAACACCAAGAGATATAAGCAAGATGCCTATAGGGCCTGTATTGCTGCTCACCTAGTTTTGCTAGGCTGAAATTGCTTCCTTACATTTGGACCCCACACCTCAGTCCTTGAGGGGGGTCAGCCAAACCATTCTTACTTCAGACCAAAATCAAACCACATCATTTCTACTTGGGAAGTAGGATTTTGAAGAATTTGCCCTATTTGTAATATTAGGCTCTACTCGAGGGAGCCAAGACCCACAGTCTATATAACATTAATTCTCCTCCCCCAACAATGCTTCAGACCAAATTTGGGCAAAATTCAATCATTCCTACAGGAGGAGTAGAATTTTAAAGAATTTGTTCTGTTTCCCCTATTGGGCCCTGCTCCTGCAGGCCCCAAGGGGCAGAGACCCATCGTTTATTCAAATCTGATTTCCCTAGAAACTGTTCCATCTTTTGGCTGTTCAGTATGTGATTTTCAGAAGTGTTGAACTGGAATGTACAGGTTTATGTTATATGTATATAGATATATATATATACAAAGTATTGATTTCACATCTTTTCAAAAGTGTGAAATTCACTTCTAGTCATTGAAAAATCCCATCTCCAGTCATTGAAAAACCCAAACTTGATACCCAATCAATTTGCTTCCTATCAAAGTTTGTAGGAGAGGATGTCCAAAATCAGCAAATGCAGATTATTTCAGTTTAAACTCTTTCTTTTCTGCTCATTCCCAGAAAATCTGTATTAATGTATCAATGTAGTTGAAGAAGTTTTCAGGAAAATGAAGTAAATTTGGTAATGACTGAACAGTATAACATGGAATGTTGTATATAATAGATTAGTATAGCACTACAGGACGGTTTTATATCGATCATCTAGACGGCTGTCAGCTGCTGATACTCTTGTTGTCTGTAAGGTAGCATACACACATCTGATCCTTACTTAACAGCAGAATTGTGTTACTTTCGGGATGCCACTTCAACGATTGGACAGGAAATGAACCTGTAAACACATAAAATACAAGATCAAGTTTAGACTATGTTGGATATTAATATTAATCTCATGAATAAACAAAGAATATAAACCTTATATGTATCACTTACAACACAATTTCATCAATTTGTAAGGCTAATTCTGATTGGTCTTACAGCTATTTAATATCCAATCAAATTTGCCATGCCAAACGGCCAGGTGGAGTGCTTTTTAATAATGGAAACAGTTTTGGGTGCAGCCAAACAGGAGAAAGGGGATATCAGTAATTTTTTGTAAAAAAGGATGCAGATAATTTAAATTTTGAGATTGTAGTGATGGGAAATGTAGAAATCTTGCAAAGCAATACTTTAGAAGCATCTCTGCGATGTACCATCTAAAGAACTGAAGACATTGAGATAAGTTGCCCTCCTAGAATAGAACCTTATAATGTTTAACATGCAGACCCAATTTGGGATGATTTATTTCCTACAACAAACAAATTTCAAGCAAGCTTCTTCAACAGTTCTCCTTTTAAGAGATGAAAATTTCTAGTTGTACATTGTAATAATAATTTAAGCATAACTTCAAATTTTTCAATCTTAGTCTTTCTACATTTAAGCCAAACTTAATTTCTGCTGCATCTTTGAGGCATAAAACATTTACTCTACAACTTGAATTACTAACCCTCAACAGGTACCTCCACGGAGAGACTTCCAGCAGGGGACCACATGTATAGTTTGTTGGTACCAGTACACACGGCTAAACGTGGCTGGTGGGGGTCCCAACTCACACCTACAAATACAAATTATAATATAGTGTTCCTACTATCACAAATTTCTTCTGTGCATGATTTATATGAGATAAAATATTAACTCAAAGCCTCCATTTTGAACTGACCCCATGGAACTGTTGACTGCCAGCCTAGATAATAATGCTGTAAAATGAAAAGAACTAAAAGAGAAATTTTTCGATGCTAAGTCAGTGGGATAAACAGCTCGTATTATACAAGGGTTACATATTCCATCCAAAAAGCAGCACATGAACCTGTTTTCCTGGAGTTATAGTAACTAGTCCAAAGGGTTCTGACTACCTATCTGTTATTCTAGTTTTGTCTTGTTGTGGTCAGAATTCCTTCCTATATACAAATACGGAATGTGAGCGACCCATGTATGGGTTGTCATTCTGTCAATGATTTGATAAAGTTTACAACAGAGCTATAGTTATGAATAATACATTGATGGAAAGATAAAACATTTTCCTTTTTCCTTGCCTAATGTGTTGAGGCAATCAAATGTTCTAAACTAAGTATTTTAACTAATTTTTCCCAAAACATTTACTTCCTTGCATATTTACTATGGCGGCCACTAAACAGAATTTCTCTAGAATTATCCCTAGAAACCTACAAAAATGTAAACTCTTGGGAGATTGGCGGACATGATAGATTTACAGAGTGGATATGCTGAAATTAAAGTTATTGGGAAAAGGTGTGGAAATACTTAGTTTACATTTAATTACTTTGTTGTATATGCAAGTCAGTAGAAAAACAATCAGTAGAAAACAGATAGAAGCTTTACATTTTCCATACACATATGTATCGCTTAATCTCTAAATATAGACCTTCAGCTATACTCTCGGGTCATCAGGACCTAAACGTGATATTGATGTTCAAAATCTCCAATGTCTTGAATATCTTTTATTGAGAAGACTTAAATAATATCTACACAGTCAAAGTCTCCAAATTGACAGTTTGATGCACAAAATTTTTTTCACAAATGACCGATGACAACTACATAGAAAAGATCTTGGGGTGTTTCAATCAGTGAAGCATTTACACTTAGTAGTGGAAATACAAGGCAACAAATGGAAATTCTCTGGATGTCTCGGACGCACAGGATGTAAGACATTGTCACTTACACTTGATGGGAGCAGCCTGGATGAGTACAGTACAGAGGGAAAGTCTCTGGACGTCCCATATCCACAGGGTGTGGGGCATGTTATCTGTAGTACACAAAGCACACATGTCAACGAGTCCCATCAGATATTTTAAGCAGCATTGTAAGACATTCATCATTAATTCAGATGCAGGGTTCTGTTTTGTCTATACACATCAATATATACATTTTTTTAAAAATTGATGAACAATAATAATGTTGTTATCAACATGTAAATTGCAAAAAAAAAAAAAAAGATAAAATCTGTTCATTCATATTCACCAACTTTTACTGTCCACAGACTGGGAATGAAATGTAGTAATTGTAAGAATGGAGGATATAATCACCATTCTTGGTGTACATGTAGCGACAGTCACAACTGAAGGCTGCACTGCCTACACCCAGTCTAGGGTTAGCTTTGGTAGTGTCCGGCTTAACTACAGGTATCTTCACCGGGAAATCTTCCACCTCATCTGTAATGAAAGACGATCCAAACAATGATACTATTGTCAACGGCAACTTGGACAAAAAATCGCTGACATTTATTCCTCTGTCATCTTGGACAATAGATGACTTAACATTTGTTTTCTTAATTTATATTGATACAGAGAGTTATCTCCCTTACACTGTAAACCATAACTAGTTCTTGTACAGCAGGGAAGACGTAATGTCATGAATACTTGGTGGTTTTAAATGTGCACTGATGTCATGAATGTAAAGTAAAAACAAACTATTGCCAAATCAAACTGTTTAAAGGGCTATCTGCTTTTTATATTAACCGATTTCTTTGAAAAATTGTTTAGTAGTAAAACAGACTCCTCCTGCAGTACCAGTGAGGGGACAGTGTAATGGAGTGAAAAACTACAAAACCTCCTGCAGTACTGGTGTTGGGAATGAGAGATAGAGTGAAAAACTACAGACCCCTCCTGAAGTAGTGGTGTAGGGAATGAGAGAATGAGTGAAAAAATACAGACCCCTTCTTATGTACCCGTGTAGCTACTGTGAGGTGAAGTGAAAAACTACAGTCCCCTCCTTAAGTACCAGTGTAGGAGCTGTGAGATAGAGTGAAAAACTTCAGGCCCCTGCTGCAGTACCCGTGTAGGGACTGTGAGATGGAGTAAAAATCATTTTCCCACTTATGCAGAAGTAGTATACTTATGCAGAGACTAAGATGAAGTGAAACGCTACAGTCCCAACCTGTATTTCTGATAATAAGCCTGAACTTCTATAACTCTAACTTACATTTGCTCTGAGCAGTGAAAAGTGCTGCAGTAGGTGCATCCATATTCTCTGAGGACGGCAGTGGCACTCGTGTCTCCACCTCCTTGTACACAATCTGATAAAACACAAGACAGCACAGTGTTAACACACTGGAACAAGCAATCATGACTGTTACACCACACTTCTCACCAGGAACACCACAATCAGGTCCATTAGATCATAGATAAATTTACTTCTTCATGTGTAACAATTATGAAACAAATTTAAAAAAAATAAATCAACTTCATTATACCTGTATAACAATAATGAAACAGGTTATATAAACATTTATTTTCTAATCCTGCTGGACCAAACGGAGACATGTTTGGTGTCAGAACAAGTGAGGAAAACCAGAGTAGCCAAGGAAAATCCTTTTGGCTGGATAAATTTTCGTGTCCCAGTGACAAATTCATTCCAGTTGCGTATATGAAAGGCCTGAATACGAGGTGTCAGCTGACCAGTGCTAGATCCTGACCGGTCCAGATCTGTATCAACAAATGAGCTATACTTACAACATTATTATTGGTCTCTAAGACAGGTGAATGATCAAGCACTGCTACTGTTTTCCATGTTATGTGGTTCAGGATCCTCACCTGTGAAATAGAAATCAGTTTTGACTTTAACTTAACTAGTTAAAAACTACAAAAATCTGTCATTTATAGTCATTTCTGTTCACACTACAATTTCACATCAAATTAAGGTGTTTCTATTTTTTCTGATCTATATATGAACTAACTTCAATATTAAGACAATGTTGTACATAAATAATCTAAGCACAAGACCAAATTTGTTCTTGTAAAACTTGTTCTTAATATCTGGAACTATAATTTACATGCCATTCAAGGGAGACAACCTCACATGACAAAGCAATCATGATCCTAACCACTAACTGGCCTAAGGAAAGGTATAGAATGTACAAGATACCGTTACAAGCCGGTTTTCATAGTAACAATAACTCTGGGTCATTTTCTGTGTCTTTAATCTCATTGCCTCCTCCACACCATGGAACAGTTACCAATCCAAAAATTTGGGGGACTCCTTATATTTTTATCAACCATAAGATCAGACAAGTTTCAAAATCTGATAAATCAACAAAAAAAAGTTGTTACAGTATTTAAATATAAATTTTTGTCTTAAGCAAATGCACAAATGTATTTTTTTCAAAAGCTTGACTTAAGGGTAAACAGTTACCAACTTGCCTGATTTCATCAGCTCAACCTGATGTATATTGACCATATCATAATCTGATTTATCGTTTTAATCTCACTTCTTTCTTTTTGATCAGTATTTAAAAAACTATCAAGATCTTTTTCTGGATCTAGTATAGTTAAATTTATGTTCAAACAAAACACACAACCACATCTAAATACATACATATGTGATAACTATAACACAGAATGGATCAAAATCCTCTGTTTAAAAACCTTGATTTTAGAAAGGTCATGACAATGTATCAGATGAAGGGATGTTGACAACACATGGTAAACTATTTCTTTTGTGCTGAAGTGCTAGAGTGCTTAAACCTTGAATAGAATGTTATATTTATTTCTGTCAGTCCATCAAGCATACAGTAATAAAAAACTACTACAAATAAAAATCACTATATGGAATAATCATTATCATTAGCCATCACCACATCATGATAAAGCAATCCCTATTTACACAGTAAATACCACATAAACTTCAAAAAAAAATTATTCTCAATTTTCTGCAAATCAATCATCTGTAACCCAGGGTAACAACATGGGAATCAGTGTTGGTTCCCTTCAGTGACTCTCAATAGGGACACCTATACACACACCAGACACCCGAGTCGGTAGTAGCGTCCCTATCCCAACATGTACAAACAGGACACGGGCGGTACAATTCACACAGAAAAGTGTTTTATCATTATTTTCTGTTGCTTTAGTACTTATTACCTTTAAAAGTTTATACTGTTTAAATCTCATACTTATCAGTATTATCTATGCTAGCTTCTATAAATATATCTTTCATTCAATAATTGTCAACATCTCAAAGGATCAGAGACATTTTTGTTATTACCTTGCGTGAATTTCACAATTTCAGAAACTCAGTAAGAAATTGAGTAAATCTACCGAGTAGCATAGAGTAAACTTTTGGCTAATGTAGATATGGATAATAATTCAATAATGAAATGTATGTGAAATTTGGATACTTGGATTTTCAAATTCTTCACTCTAATATATAGCAGTTACCTGCTGTCAATATTGAAAAATATAATGAAATACATCAACACTGTAAATCAATAATTCAACCCAACCCAACCCCAACCCCCCCACCTATAGCTCAATAATTTACTCCACCTCCTCCCTCATACAGCTAGATCATGTGATCATTCCACTCCTTCCTCCATCAAGTCAACACATCTTTCCTCTCCCCCACTTCCTCTCCCCCTCCCTCCTACATCTAAACAGCCTACCCTATCCCTCCCTCCTACATCTACACAGCCTGCTCTACCCCTCCTTCTTACATCTAAATAGCCTGCCCTACCCCTCTCTCCTACATCTAAACAGCCTGCCCTATCCCTCCCTCCTACATCTACACAGCCTGCCCTACCCCTCCTTCTTAAATTTAAACAGCCTGCCCTTCCCCTCTCTCCCAAATCTAAATAGCCTGCCCTACCCCTCCCTCCCACATCTAAACAGCCTGCCCTACCCCTCCCTCCCACATCTAAACGGCCTGCCCTACCCCTCCCTCCCACATCTAAACAGCCTTCCCTACCCCTCTCTCCTACATCTAAACAGCCTGCTCTACCCTTGCCTCCTATATCTAAACAGCCTGCCCTACCCCTCCCTCCCACATCGAAACAGCCTGTCCTACCCCTCCCTCCTACATCTAAACAGCCTGCCCTTCCCCTCCCTCCTACATCTAAAAAGCCTTCCCTGCCCTATCCTTCCCTCCCACATCTAAACAGTCTGCCCTACCCCTCTCTCCTACATCTTAATAGCCTGCCCTACCCCTCTCTCCTACATCTAAACAGCCTGCCCTACCCTTCCCTCCAACATCTAAACAGCCTGCCCTACCCCTCCCTCCTACATCTAAACAGCCTGCCTTACCCCTCCCTCCTACATCTAAACAGCCTTCCCTAACCCCACTCCCACATCTTAACAGCCTGCCATACCCCTCCCACATCTAAACAGCCTGCCCTACCCCTCACTCTTACATCTAAACAGCCTGCCCTACCCCTTCCTCCTACATCTAAACAGCCTGCCTTACCCCTTCCTCCTACATCTAAACAGCCTGCCCTACCCCTTCCTCCTACATCTAAACAGCCTGCCTTACCCCTCCCTCCTACATCTAAACAGCCTTCCCTAACCCCACTCCCACATCTTAACAGCCTGCCATACCCCTCCCACATCTAAACAGCCTGCCCTACCCCTCACTCTTACATCTAAACAGCCTGCCCTACCCCTTCCTCCTACATCTAAACAGCCTGCCTTACCCCTTCCTCCTACATCTAAACAGCCTGCCCTACCCCTTCCTCCTACATCTAAACAGCCTGCCTTACCCCTCCCTCCTACATCTAAACAGCCTTCCCTAACCCCACTCCCACATCTTAACAGCCTGCCATACCCCTCCCACATCTAAACAGCCTGCCCTACCCCTCACTCTTACATCTAAACAGCCTGCCCTACCCCTTCCTCCTACATCTAAACAGCCTGCCCTACCCCTTCCTCCTACATCTAAACAGCCTGTCCTACCCCTTCCTCCTACATCTAAACAGCCTGCCCTACCCCTTCCTCCTACATCTAAACAGCCTGCCCTACCCCTTCCTCCTACATCTAAACAGCCTGCCCTACCCCTTCCTCCTACATCTAAACAGCCTGCCATACCCCTCCCACATCTAAACAGCCTGCCCTACCCCTCACTCTTACATCTAAACAGCCTGCCCTACCCCTTCCTCCTACATCTAAACAGCCTGCCTTACCCCTCACTCTTACATCTAAACAGCCTGCCCTACCCCTTCCTCCTACATCTAAACAGCCTGCCTTACCCCTCCCTCCTACATCTAAACAGCCTGCCCTACCCCTTCCTCCTACATCTAAACAGCCTGCCCTACCCCTCACTCTTACATCTAAACAGCCTGCCCTACCCCTTCCTCCTACATCTAAACAGCCTGCCCTACCCCTTCCTCCTACATCTAAACAGCCTGCCCTACCCCTTCCTCCTACATCTAAACAGCCTTCCCTAACCCCACTCCTACATCTAAACAGCCTGCCCTACCCCTCTCTCCTACATCTAAACAGCCTGCCTTACCCCTCCCTCCTACATCCTACCCCTTCCTCCTACATCTAAACAGCCTGCCCTACCCCTTCCTCCTACATCTAAACAGCCTGCCCTACCCCTTCCTCCTACATCTCAAACAGCCTGCCCTACCCCTTCCTCCTACATCTAAACAGCCTGCCCTACCCCTTCCTCCTACATCTAAACAGCCTGCCCTACCCCTTCCTCCTACATCTAAACAGCCTGCCCTACCCCTGCCTCCTACATCTAAACAGCCTGCCCTACCCCTTCCTCCTACATCTAAACAGCCTGCCCTACCCCTCCTCCTACATCTAAACAGCCTGCCCTACCCCTTCCTCCTACATCTAAACAGCCTGCCCTACCCCTTCCTCCTACATCTAAACAGCCTGCCTTACCCCTTCCTCCTACATCTAAACAGCCTGCCCTACCCCTTCCTCCTACATCTAAACAGCCTGCCCTACCCCTTCCTCCTACATCTAAACAGCCTGCCCTACCCCTTCCTCCTACATCTAAACAGCCTGCCCTACCCCTTCCTCCTACATCTAAACAGCCTGCCCTACCCCTTCCTCCTACATCTAAACAGCCTGCCATACCCCTACCTCCTACATCTAAACAGCCTGCCCTACCCCTTCCTCCTACATCTAAACAGCCTGCCCTAACCCTTCCTCCTACATCTAAACAGCCTGCCTTACCCCTCCCTCCTACATCTAAACAGCCTGCCTTACCCCTCCCTCCTACATCTAAACAGCCTGCCTTACCCCTCCCTCCTACATCTAAACAGCCTGCCCTACCCCTTCCTCCTACATCTAAACAGCCTGCCTACCCCTCCTCCTACATCTAAACAGCCCCCTACCCCTCCTACATCTAAACAGCCTGCCCTACCCCTCCCTCCATCTAAACAGCCTGCCCTACCCCTCCCTCCTACATCTAAACAGCCTGCCCTACCCCTCCCTCCTACATCTAAACAGCCTGCCTTACCCCTCCCTCCTACATCTAAACAGCCTGCCTTACCCCTCCCTCCTACATCTAAACAGCCTGCCTTACCCCCCCTCCCTCCTACATCTAAACAGCCTGCCATCTACCCCTCCCTCCTACATCTAAACAGCCTGCCTTACCCCTCCCTCCTACATCTAAACAGCCTGCCTTACCCCTCCCTCCTACATCTAAACAGCCTGCCATCTAGCCCCTCCCTCCTACATCTAAACAGCCTGCCTTACCCCTCCCTCCTACATCTAAACAGCCTACCCCTCTCCTACCCCTCCCTACATCTAAACAGCCTGCCTACCCCTCCCTCCTACATCTAAACAGCCTTACCCCTCCCTCCTAC